GCAGGGGCCGAGGCAGAGATGGTTAGGGGTGATCAAGTCAGCAGGGGAGAGCAGTTAGGGGCGATCATGCTGGCAGCATAGGGCAGTTAGGGGCGATCAGGCTGGCAGCAGAAGGCAGTTAGGGGCGATCAGGCTGGCAGGGGAGGGCAGTTGGGGGCGATCAGGCTGGCAGCAGAGGGCAGTTAGGGGCAATCAGGCCAGCAGGCAGAGGCAGTTAGGGGCTATCAGGCTGGTAGGGGAGCAGTTAGGGGCATCAGATCGGCAGGCAGAGGTGGTTAGGGGCAATCAGGCAGGCAGGTAGGCAAGCAGTTAGGAGTCAGTGGTCCCGGATTGCGAGAGGGATGTCAAGGGGTCCTGGATTGGAGAGGGTGCAGGCTGGATTTTGTGCACCGGGCCTCTAGTATAATCATAAGTGTGGGACTGATGTTCTCTCATGAATTTTTGCATTCTAAGTGGAGGAGGCACTTCACTGTTCTATTTTAATAACTTTATAATCACTGAATTTGATAAGTCAAGAAATGGTTAAATTTACAGAAAAAATTCACCTATAGTCTTAATACTAATGTTGAAATGTTAGTGTATCGTATTTTTACTGATTTCAGTATAATTGGCAGCTAAATTGTCACTATTGTCATGCAGTCAATGCCTTGTGTTGCATGGTAATTGCTGCTCAACCTTTTCTTGAATTCTCTAGACTTCCTTCCCTTAGAGCTCCTCTTTCCGTTGAAGTGGACATTTCTAAATGCTGAACAGCTGCCAGAGCAGCTGTTTAAAGAATCCCCTGAAGTTCTCATTAAAAATATACCTTCTGGAAAGTTTCTGAGTCAGGACTTTGGAGTGTGGCAAAGGAATCTGTCATTTACAAGTTCTTCAGACGATTTGGAGAGCTAAGAGCTGCAGTCTTTGAGAGTCACTGGGCTATCGAAGAACCATTGATCCCGAAGCTGGTCTGCTCTTAAGCTCGGAGTGGTGCCATCTTATGTTTAAGTATAAGACTGTGTTGTTGCTGAAGCTACTCACATATGCACCCCTTAAGTGTTCTGGGCTAGAAGTATCCAGGCAAACCTGGGTAACACAAACAGCAAATCACAGTTTAAGAATCTAATGAAGAGGGACTGATGAAATAGACAATGGTGTGTCCAGACAGTTACTAAAATTATGTTGTAGAAATATACTTGACCTGGTAAATGATGGTATGTAGCTGAGTGATAAAAGCAGATTACAAAATAATGGAGTTCCATATTGGTTACACTCACTGACACAAGAATAGAAGAACACGTTCATGGTAATTATCTATCCAATGTTAGTAGTGGTTATTTTCCTATAACTTCATTTTTAACTTTTAAAAATTTTAGCGAGCGTGCATTACTTCTGTAAAGATAGATGTTAGTGCCCTTGCAGTGTTTGTTAGATCCTTCCCACCCTTTTTCCCCTATTTCATTTTAACATGGGAAAGTCATTATTTAAAGAAAACAAGAATGTTTTTGTGAACTTAAAAGCACATATTCTTATTTTTTCCTGTTTCATTTTGGTGGGATGGGGATGGGGTGCAGGTAGAGGAGGGATATAAATAAGAAATTGTGGAACTTGTTTGCATTTTACATCTGTGGTGTCCAATTTGGTAGCCTCTAGCCCAGGCGTGGGCAAACTTTTTGACTCGAGGGCCACAATGGGTTCTTAAACTGGACCGGAGGGCCGGAACAAAAGCATGGATGGAGTGTTTGTGTGAACTAATATAAATTCAAAGTAAACATCTACACTAATAAAAGAGAAAAATGGTAATTGGCGTACGACCGCTACCCTTCCGATTGGCTAATCAGCGTATCCTTATGCAAATTAACTGTCAGCCCACGGCTGCCTAGCCATATGTAACAATTAAGAGTGTAAAGAGTCCTGAGACCAAAATATGTGAGAACCACTAGGATAAAACAGTTTCCAAGGTACATTTTTAGAACAATTGCAAGTCAGTTTGATTGTATGTTAGCATTTGTGTGAAAAGGAGTATAAATGGGATACTTGTTTTTTTGTATATACATAAAATTCTTCTGGAAGGATATAAAGGAATTAAGTGTTGGCTCAGTGAGGAAGGAGTGAAAGGTACATTCTCTAAACCTTTTTGAACTCATTTGAATTTTAAACCAGATGACTATATTACTCCTTAAAACAAATTTTAAAACACCCCTCCTACCAGCCATGTTATACATTTCCGGGAATCTAGGTCTGTTAGGAAAAGTTGGAGCAAGTTTGGAGAAGCAGTTATTTTTCTGGCAGCTTGCTTTTTTCTTGTTTGAGAAGAAAATGAAGCTTGCTTGTTTCAAGGGTAAAAAATTTTATTTTATGTCCAAGCCAAATATATTCATGTTGAAATAACGTAAATCAAATAGGTAGCAATTTTCCCAGTAGGGCCCAAAGTATACTGAATGTAAGTTTTAAGGACGAACCATTTGATTAGTTTTTAAAAATAGTTTTTTTTCTAGGTTCCTAGTAAAGAGTTTAAATTTATTTTAGGAGATTGTTATAATTTATAGTCCTGTCATTTAAAAGGTTTTGAATAAGTGCTGCATGAAATGTGGAAGCTAAGTAAATGTTCTGACATTTGATTCAGTACAAAAAGTGCTTTTTATTACTCATAACCTTTGGGGATTCTTGAAAAGAATAGCTAAGGAATTCAATTTTATTTATTCTGTCTGCTATTAAGTATGGCTTTTGATCAATGTTCATGCTTTTAACTTTGAAATAGTGTCCTTTCATGGAAAGGGAAAATTATTTTAATGCAAAAACTCTTCAGATTTTTTTCAAATAATACTTCTAAAATTTATATCTTTGAATACTGAAATACCATTTCTAGAGTTCTTTGAAGCACTTTAGAGAAAGGTACCGCATGTGTTTCTGTTCATTAGTTATAGTTAAAAGTTTGCCCATAATGTAGGACCATTTCCCCAGTTTCTTTAGTTAATAAGGAATGCTTTTAATAATGCTAATGGGTTATTATGAAGTACTTGACAAATGGGTAGTTAATTCATTAAGTTTACTTATTAGTTGCGTATGCATATATAATATTTGCACATGCAAATATAGCATATGCATGTAACATTTACACAATATTTTTTTTAAATCTAAGCACATCTTAGAAGTAGCATAATTAGTATTTTTTTAAAAATATATTTTATTGATTTTTTACAGAGAGGAAGGAGAGAGATAGAGAGTTAGAAACATCGATGAGAGAGAAACATCGATCAGCTGCCTCCTGCACATCCCCCACTGGGGATGTGCCCGCAACCCAGGTACATGCCCTTGACCGGAATCAAACCTGGGACCCTTCAGTCCGTAGGCCGACGCTCTACCCACTGAGCAAACCGATTTCGGCCATAATTAGTATTTTTTAATTTTATATGTATAGAAATTGAAATTCAGAGTACTAAATGCATTGTGTAATGTCATACAGCCTTGTTACAAAGTAAAATAATTTAGATTTTAAAAAGGCTAGGTTAGATTTCAACAAGTTAAGTAAAACTTTACTTAGATTTAAGTAAAGCTCTGTTCTTGCAAGACATGCCTTTATGTATACCTACTATGTTTCAGGCTCTGGGGTCAGCACTGAAGATTTAAAGATGAGACATAAATCCTGCCCTCCTAGGACTTTGAAGTTTAGGGACAGTGGGAGAAGTGACTAAGTGTGATGGTGCCTTGTTGAGAGGCCATATATCCCTGATATTTATGAGGAACTGATAAATCTTGAAGGATAAATGGAAGTAGCCAGGTGAATCTGTTGAGGGGGTGTGTTAAAGACTTTGTTCAAGTAGAAAATACTCAAGGAAGCCTGACAGCACACTGATACTTGGTAACTGCTAGCAGTTCCATATGTTTGCTGTGCTGGGCTGTGCAAGAGGAAGAGCAGAATATGAACAGAAGGAGGTAAACAGTGTGCCCTAAATTGGAAATGTGAACTTTTTTCTAAAGGTTGTAGGAATGAATGTAAGTAGATGGAAGGACTTAGATTGACCAAAGTTTGAGACTTAGCTCTTGGGCTTCTTAGCTGTGGGACCATAGTCAAGGGACTAAATATTTTGAGCCCCAGTTGCTTCATATGTAAAGTGGAAATAACATTCAATTTGCAGACAGTTAGGAAGACTAAGAAAATGTTAAAACACATTGCGTACCGCAAAGAAATCTCTAAGACATATGCCAGGGACCGCACGTTTTTGGGCAAACTGCACGTTATTTAAATCATCATAATGCACTTTAGGTGTTGTTTTTCAATAATTATAACATTTTTACTTACAAAAACAATTAAACAATTAAAGTTCCTAGTACTTCTTTAACGTATGGTACTGCGTAAAACATTTTCCTCTATGAAGAGGGACCAAACAAAATTTACATAAGTATCTAGATTCGCTCCTTTTTCCATGGGCGGCACAAACTGCAGGCTCTCGTAGGAAATTTTTTCTTTCCACTCGCTGGAATACACGTAGGTTCATGCTGCTTCGTATCACCTGACAACCTTTTGGGTGTACAAAGGCACGTGGGGCCACGTGTTCGGACCATAGGTTCAAGTTTACAACCACTATGGCTATGATTGTGCTGGGAGGGCCCTGCCCTCCAGCTGGGACTTGCACGTGGCAGTGAGAGGACCCTGTCCTTTCATTAGTCTGAGGCTTGAACCTGGCCAAAACACTGTAACCGCGCCCCACAGTGGACAAGACAGTGTGTTGACATCTAAGGTCCATAACAGATGGCGTGTGGAAAACGAGAACACTCGTGAGCAGTCCTTAACAGATGGCGCGCGAAACACGAGAAAACTCCTGAGCGGTACGCAATGTGTTAAAAAAGCACTAGTGTGCACCAAACGTTTAAGTAGTCCATAATGGAAGCTGAATTAGAAGGAGAGATCCCTATACATATTCTAAGCTTGTAAGAAGAGCCCTTTGCATTTTAGATTGTGACAGAAGGTCTTTAAACCTGTTTCCCCAGAATGGTCACATTTCTGTTCTTTCTCACAGGCCAGCCCTCCAGATCTCTATATTGAAAGATTTAATATAGCTCTTGGACAGTATATGGGAGCATTGCAGAGCATTGTGCCTCTTTTCATATATATGGTAAGTTAGAGCTTGGTTTACTGGTCTGAGTATCGAGAGTGAAGCATGTTCTATTTTTCTTTTACTATATATTATGGTAGAAATGGAAAATAATCTATTTTAGTAATGTTTGATAGTGTTGGCATAGAAGAATTTTCCGTTTTAAAATTACATAGAAAACATTGCTATGTAGATAATTAGGCATTAATATCAGTAACCACTCAATTAGCATTTATTTTATTTCTGCCATAATGGAAGATATTGTGCTTGGAAAATAAATATGTATAAGAAAGATTTTTTTATCCTCAGGAAAAAAGAGAATTAAGACATGAATCTAAAATCATGAATGCCAAGTAAGTCATTCTATAAAAAAATAGAACAATAAAATTTGCTTCCATTCTGATGATCTCTTTCATTTGGAAAATTATGCCTTGAGTATAATTTGTAGTCTGTTGACTCTGTTGATTAGTCCTTCCCCTCTTTAAATATTTAAAGTTGTAGAATCTTAATGTTAGTGTTCCTATTGGATGGAGGGGCTCATTATCTCAGTGGAGTAAAATCATTATCCCAATTCCTCTTTGTTTATTAGATTTAAGGAATGGGATGTTTAGGTTGATCCTATTTTCTATAGCATAGAGATTGCATGTTTTATACCAGTCTTCAAAATTATTATGTACTCTCCATAAGATATACTTTACTGAAAAAAACAAAAACAAAACACCACAAATTAACAACTAGAAAAAAAAACCCAAAACAGAACACTGGGAGGAATTTCTATGATCAGCAGGGACTATTATTTAAGTAATTTATTGAAGATAATTACAGTTGAAAACTATGCAGTTAAAAATAACGACATGTCCATGTTATTTTAGAGAAAAATCTTCCCCAAGAGACATTAGGTGACAAAGCAAGATACAAAGCAGTGTGTAATATTTCTCCATTAGCAAGTGTTTTCTTCTTTGTTAGGGAAAAAAGTATATCCCCATATTACGTAAGCCGTATTTTAGAAAGATTATACAAAGTGTCGTCCCTACTGTAGGAAGGGACCTTTGGGAAGGGGACAGAGGGGCTGCTGTGGGACAGTTCTTTTTATTGTGTAACCTTTTGCATGGTTTTAATTTTTAACCATGTGCATATTATTTTTATAATTTTTTAAAGAGAAAAATAAAACTTGTGTTAAGAATTGAGAGAATCAGCACGTTGTTAACGTTCCTCTTTGCATTTTCCATTCCTCGACATTGAGTTAACATTTACACATGGACAAATTCAATCTTTTGTGATTTGTCAGTCATTCTAATCAGGATGCTTCTGGCTGCCAGAAATAGAAGGCCTGATTCAAAGTGATTTAAATAAGGGAAAGAATTAGCTTTTGTAATGAAATCCAGATATAAGGCAGTCTCCAGGGTTGGCTGAATCTGTGGTTTAAGTGTCACCAAGGACTCAGGTTCTTTTTTCTTTCTTTTGTACACAACATCTTGGAACACACCATGTTCTCCTCATGGTGGTAAGATGACTGTAAGATACTTTTCACTCGAGCCTGGGTTTCTCTCAGTTATTGGGCTATCTTGGGTCATGTGTCTATCTTTGAACCAGAGACCATCGCTAAGGAATGCCATAGGCTGAATGGTTTAGACTAAGCATTGAATGGAGCGTATGTTGGGGAGTCAACAGTGCACGTTCAATACCTGCTTTCAGCGTAGGTCACTAATAAATGGGGACCTTTCAAAAGGCATACTAAGTGCTCGTCACACAGTGGTTCCATGTGTCTGTACATCATCTCTGTCTAGGTCGTGTCAGGTATCGCCCATGTTCTTTTGGAGGTGTATGGTTCATTGCATTTCGTCTTTATGTGCTTTTACCCCCATGCCAGAAAGACATATGAATAGGGCAGGGCTTTCTATCTGTTGTTTGATGTTGCATTTTTATGTTTTGCTTGATGCTTTTATGAATTGTTTTCTAAAATAATTTATTTTTAGTGTTTCAGTTTTAGACTGATCATTTCCCTTAATGATGTAATGAAAAGTAATTTATTTTCCCTTTCAGAATAAGTTTTACATCGAAACAAAACTTAACAGAGACTTAAAAGATGACCTTATAAAGCTGTTTACGGAACATGTTGCAGAAAAGCACATTTACAGCCTAATGCGTAAGTACTTTAGCTTATAGGGGTGAGATAACACTAGCAATGATATACATAATTTTTGATCAGAGAGCACTGGCACAGCAGAAGGTGTTGAAGCCCAGTTCTCTAGAGAGAGGCATGAGGAATTGAAAATGTGAGTTGAAGATCACCCAGTGAGCTGGGAGCTGCTTGACCCCGTTACTGGACAGTGCCTTCATATCTGGCCTGACACTTGCTACCTCTCCCCCTTCCGACAATGGAGTAAATATTATCAAGGGGTTCACCCCTGACTTTGTTACTGGTAACTCTAGAAGGAGCTCGGTGTGATATCTATGAGGTGTAGCACAGAATCCTCCCTGATTTTTACTCTTTAGTGCAAAAACCCTTCCCTCATCTAGCTCTGTCATTTTTTTTAATTTTTAAAAAAATATGTATTTTTATTGATTTAAGAGATGAAGGGAGAGAGAGAGAGAGAGAGAGAGAGAGAGAGAGAGAGAGAGAGAGGGAGGGATACATGAATGATGAGAGAGAATCATTGATTGGCTGACTCCTGCACATCCCCAACTGGGGATCAAGTCCACAACCCAGGCATGTGCCCTGACTGGGAATCGAACCGTGACTTCCTGGTTCATAGGTTAATGCTCAACCACTGAGCCATTCTGGCCAGGCTAGAATTTCAGTTTTAAACATTATATTTTGAAAACATTTCCTATAGTGCTTAAATTAACATTTGTCTCTTTAAAATTTATCTATGCCATTCAAAATTATAACTGTCTACTGATGATAAAATTCGAAGGATAAACTTCAACAATGCACCTTTGGCCTTCATATAAATTCAGTGTAACTCACATCTGTTTGAAACTGTGAGGTCATTGTTGGCCAAGTGAGATGGCTTTTCCATTTTAAAAAAGGCAAGAACATAACTAATGGACATAAGACACTGGGGGGTAAGGGAGGGCAGGGGATTGTCAAGGGCGGGGGGGAAAAAAAGGACACTTATGTAATACCCTTTGTAATACTTTTAGCAAAAAAAAATAAATAAAAAAGGCAAGAACAGAAGGAAACAGCTTGTCCAATTTTACAACCCTGGCATACAGTAAAATTATGCCATGTTTTATGGAGTATTTTGGTTAGTAAATTGCAGGTCTTAGACAAATTAAAAATGAACTGTTCTGTGTCAGGAGTATCTTTTGTATCCACTAAATAATGGAATTCATTTGTGTCTGTTAATGATATTACCTAGAAGAATTATTTCTATCCATTTAAAAATGTTCTAATAAAATCTTTGTCCTGCAGTGGATAACCTGAAAGGAAACTGACTCTGTTGTCATGTTCAGTCAGGGTTTTATGGTTACTAGAGTTATGAAAGTGAGAAGGATGAGCAAGCGTGATCTCTCTTGCCATTACCTTTAGTTAAAAAAAAAAAATGTACATACAGCTGTAGCATTTGGGGAAGTCAGACTGACTCAGAAAGTCAGTCTGACTCTGTGATTGTAGTTACTGAAATTACCAATAACATGTCTTTCAGGAAAATTCCAAGAGCCTCAACTATGGTAATTTGGGGGAAAGAGAAATGATTGAGAGGATTACAGAACACTTCATCCCCCAAGTGTAAATTTTTTGAATCAGGAACATAATAGGAAGCACTTTCAGCTTACTAAGTACCATGAATACCAGTGCTTTTAGAAAGGTTTACTTGTTTCAGAACCTCCATGAGTTGAGTAATTTCCATTAGTATTTCAACAGACCTGTACATATTTACTTGTTCAAGCTCTGTTGCATTGGATTTAAAAACAATCTTTAATGTATAAACTTTCGGTTTGTCCTCTTGGGCCGTTCTTTTCTTGCACTTGTTTACTCTTCATCTTTGGGAGAAATAGTAATAGAAAGAGAGACCTTGACAATAAGTGTTACATCATTTTTATATCCCATTTTATCTTTTTATTTCAGCTTTACTTTTAGAAGCCCAGTCAACACCATTTCAGGTCACACCTTCAACTATGGCAAATATTGTGAAAGGCCTGTACACTCTCCGACCAGGTAAACTCATGCATCATTTCTTTGGGGTTGGACTTGTTTGTGGTAGCTCCATGCCTACCCAGCAGGACAGTGTTGTTTCTCCCTGTGTTTTCTGAGGCCTAATGGTATTTGGATTGTTATGGCAAAAAATATTGAGTAGATACTCATCATTGTGAAATGTAAACTCAGGACTCAGTTGCAGTTATCTCTATTCTAATGAAAGCCAACGGAAGTACAAGAAATAATTTGTAGGAGACACTTTAGATAAAATTGATTCTCCTGTCTGGCATTAATCTTTGTCTTTTTTGTTAGGGAGTTTCTCCTTCACTTCTGTCCCACACTACAGATACTATGCATAGACATATAAATTCATAACTCCATCTTCTTTGGCCTCTTATATAACTTGCAAGCAATCAGTTGGGGGTTTTAGAAGGTATTCCCCTGGGGAAAGAGGGACTGCTTTAATTACCTTTTTGTGAAATTCTTTTATCGTTTGAAGATTCAATGAAATAAGACCTGATCTAAATTGCTTAACACAGTACCTGATAATATAATAAGCATACTAACATGAACTGTTATTACTATTCAGTTGGATTCAGTGGTTGTTTTAATTGGTGGCTTGATTGTTTGCTTAATTTAAAAGATATGTCAGAATTTAGCTTGCTAAAAATGGAAACTTGGTGAAAATTATACTAGAGGTAGAGTATGATGTCAAATACTTCTTTCTACTTTAAACAGTTAGTGACTTCTACAGTATTCAAATTTAATGTTACTTAAATTTGACCAGGTCTTGCTCCATTCTCCATAATTTTTAAACAAATTATGTGTATAAAGTACTTATATAAAGTAGCAAAAATATATTATTTCATGTGTCCAATAAACTGATGTTTTTCTTTTTGTAGTTTCTCAGAATTTTGAATTTCATTTTATTAAATGTGATGAAATGGCTCATGGATTTGTCCTTTAGCACTAGGTTATGAATGATTTATTTTATTTTAGTTTGGAAGGCATCCAAGTGCAGTTTGACAAATTTCTAAATTCTACTTCTTAAGTAGGTAGCTTTATCATAAAAGCTCTGGCTTTTAGCATGAGTAACAAGTTGCAGAATGAAAGTAATCACTATGGGTAGAAAGACTCATAGATACATGTTCATCTAAATGCTATTTTATCTAAGTTTGAGCTCTTATAATAGGATTCATACTATTTATGAGGAGAATTCTGTATTTGAGAATTGTCCTTTTCAAAAGGTGAATTGTATCACAGACTAGTCTTTTGTAACCCTAGGCATTTTCTGAGATACAATTAAACATATTTTGACATTTACATGTCTTGCCTATTGTGTTCATGGTTTATTTTATTATTTTTAAAAAATAATTCTTTATTGAAAATACTTGTTCCTGGTTTATTAAAGTAGTTTTATTCACCTGACGGATTAAGGTTAAAATATTTTAAAAGTGGAATTTTATCTATCTATCTATCTATTTATTTATTTATTTTTGAGTTTTTAATTTATCTTTATTTTTTAAAGTATTACAGATGTTCCCTGCCCCCATTGACCCCCTTCCCAGGTCCTCACTGCACTATTGTCTGTGCCCATGGGTTATGCATATCCTATATAATAAAAGCCTAATATGCTAATGATATGCTAAGGCCGCTCAACCGCTCACTATGACGTGCACTGACCACCAGGGGGTAGACGCTCCAACTGGCAGGTTAGCTTGCTGCTGGGATCTGGCCAATTGGGACTGAGTGAGACCAGCCGTACATGCCCTGGAGCCCTCCTGTGTCCCTCCCCAGCCCCGATCATGCACTGGTGGTGGTCCTTCGGCCTGGCCTGCGCCCTCTCGCAATCTGGGACCCCTTGGGGGATGTCAGAGAGCTGGTTTCGGCCTGATCCCACAGGCCAGACCAACCCCACTGGTGCATGAATTCGTGCACTGGGCCTCTAGTATGCATATAAGTTCTTTGGTTAATCTCTTCCTGCCCTCTTCCCCTTCCCTCTGAGAATCGTCAGTAAAAGTTGAATTTTAAATGTAAAAGTTTCTTTTACTACGGTGGTTCTCACATGCTGATCTTTGTATAATGAATGTATCTGGATCAACCAAGAAGGTTTTCTAAACTCTAGATTCCTGGGCCCTAATCCTTGGAGATTCTGATGACTGTTATCATTTTAAGTGTGTTTTCATTTGGTCTTTAGAAGCTCAGCTTGAAAATGGTTGTAGCCGTGCCATCCTGCCCTTCTTCATTTATACACACACTTTTGTTGTTGTTCATATATATTTTAATGACTACGTGGAGTTCCATAAAAGGGCATGTCTGTTTGACTCCTGCCAGCTCACCCTGATTGGTTAGTGTTCCCCTGAGCACTGTATTGAGACTTTCTAAACCATGTTTGAGATGAGCTAGATGGAAGGAAATGATTGAGAACATTTTGCCATGAGTTTGAACAAGGGATGAGTGGATTGGCCCCTGTGTAATTTGTGGTCCTTATTTATTTGGTGGTTTTTTTTACCATCTCTAACTTGGCTGTTCTGCTGAATTTTTTATTTATCAGTGACTCAGCATTGCACAGCAGTAGTGTAATTTTTGGCAAATTTAGAATTACATTTACTCAGATTATTATTTTTAAATTGAACTCACTGGAATAAATAGAGCTTTGACATTTTATGGTTCTTGAGGTACACAGCTAAGATGTTTCCCAAGAGGGAACATTTGAAGAGGTCAGATTAAAAGAACCCAAAAGGGTAACAATGCTCAGTTAGGGCCACCAACAAGGAGTGCTGGTTTCATCACACCTGCCACAGGTGCTCATTACTTACAGTTAGAGTTCAGTGAGCAGTGGGAAGAGATTGTGTTTATTTTACTTGAGTTTTTGTGAATATTAACAAGGCTTTTATTCTATTATTTTTTATTGTAAATTATTTTCATTCCTGTCTTTCATTTATCTGGTCTTAACTGATTTGTAAAAATGCTCCATAATAAAAATATGAATTAATCATCAGTGCAGATATTTCCTTAGACTTCTCTATGTCTATTTATTCTGAATGTCTACTTATTACTATCCGCACAATTCTCTTCTTGGTCCAGTGTGCCATCTTAACAAATGCTTTCTAGGGCTAATTCCCACCAAGTCTCTTCCCTCTAATTGCCCCCCACTCAGAATTCTTCAGTTATCTCGTTCATGTTTTCCTTCACGTTTAGAAGTTTTGATAAGGATCATTTAAAATTCTCTAGAGATTTTCATTAAATTTTGTTATAGTGGCAAAATGTAAAAACATCTGCTTTCTTTACACTGTAAATTCTTTTTAGAAAGGAAATTTAACCTCTTGTATGTTCTTTATCAGAATGGGATTGCACCTAAGTTTGGTTTAATATATATTTACCTTAATTTGCCTCTATGATTTTCTTAATGAATTGTTTTCTTCCTTCATAGAGTGGGTTCAGATGGCTCCAACTCTATTTTCTAAATTTATTCCAAATATTCTCCCTCCGGCGGTGGAATCTGAACTTTCTGAATATGCTGCTCAAGATCAGAAACTTCAAAGAGAACTTATGCAGAATGGTTTTATGAGGCAAGTTTTTTCCCCTTTGTGACAAAATAACATCAGTTTCCTTAGGCCAGTTTGGCTTGGCAGGGGAGGGATGCCAAGGTTCTTAGACGGAAATAACTGTCTAAGAGTCAAGCTGTTCCCGGGAGAGGTAGGCTGCCTACGTCTGTGGAATGTTGAGGCTGCGTTTTGATTTTATGGAAGCTGCTCTTCACTAAATGGATTTTGAAGAAGCAATTTCTCACTGGGTGGGCAGTTACCTGGGCAGCCTCCAGGAGCTCTTCAAACTTTGATCCTCATATTAGTTCTGAACATTTGGAAAAGCATTATAGAAATTTTATGATCAGTTATAGGTACTTTTATGACTAAACTAGTGTAAAGAGGCTTTAGATTCTCTTTTTCTTGTTTTCACTTTTGCCCTAAATTCTAGTTGTTTCTTCTTAAAAAAGAAGGTATCTCTTTAATGTTGCCAGATGTTTGCCTTCTTTGGTTTTGACATATACACTTCACTAATTTCTCTAAAATTTACAATTCCGTATCATGACTACAGCCCGGAAAATCTTGCAAAGTGCATCTTTTCAACTAAAATAAATTATATAAAAACTTTGTGATTCCCCATGGTAAAATACCCTATATGTCACCACATCACTGAAGGGTGCATAATACCTTGTATTTTCAGTATCCTTATTCTTTACTTACATTTTTATTTATCTTCTTTTATTTGGATCCATGGCATTAAAGGAAGAAAGTTGTGGGAAGGAAGACAGCTGGTTCCCTCATTAGGCATAGTGGTGCCCACACGTAGTAGTAAGTTGATCATTGAGGCCAAATTGTATCTCAGAATATTGGTCTTGACCAAGACCACTGTTACCAAGTCTGTGGTTTCAGCACAGGTTAGGAAATAAAGCAGATAATTTGTTGACCCAGGGATTGGCATTTTCCCCCATTTTGTCCTGGTGGCATCTGTGCCCATATGGTAGTGGGGGCACTGAGTAACCACTGTCAGTTCTCACTGGAAAGGCTCAATGAAGCTGTATGGCTAGATACGCCTCTAAACACCACTTTCTTAGAGCAAGTTAGGGAAGGAAAGGCCAGTGGGAAATACTAGTAGAACGTAAACAGCTAGTTTCTCTCTCTGATGCTCAGTGGTTACGTGTTTCCTGACATTGACTGTAACATTTCTAACAGCAGTATTATTTTCATACACAGAATGAGGCCATTTAATGCCATAGTAGTTTTACTTATTCATTTTCAAAGAGCTAATATATTTGTGTGGTTCAAAAATCAAAATGAGAATAAAAAATACACACTGAGCGGTTTGTCCCCACCTGTCTCCCTATCTACTCCCACCCCATTAGGTAATCATTTTTTAAAATTTCTTATGATTCCTTCCAGTGTTTTTCTTAATGTACAAAAAATATAAAATAGTTTTGATTTTTATTCATTTCTTACATGTTCGATTATGTAACTGTACTCCAACTTATTTAACCAGTCCCCAGTAGATGGCCACTTGAATTATTTCCAGCCTTTTGCTATTACAGAGAATGCTGCAATGAATAGCCTTGTTCATGTATAATTCTATACCTGTTGCAGGTATATCTGGAGAGTAAATTTCCATAAGTGGGATTGCTGGGTCAAGAGTAAAAGCAGTTGTAATTTTGATTAATATTGCCAAATTGCCCTCCATAGGGGATTGTCTGTTTTGCATATGTACCAGCTGAGTTTGAAAGTGCCTGTTCTTCATGGCCTTGCATGTGAAGTATGTTGTTAAACTTTGGGATTTTTGCCAACCTCACAGGGTTGGTTTAATTTGCATTTCTTGTTAAGGGTGAGGCTGAGCATAGTTTCATGTTTGTATTTCCTTTTCTGTAAACTGCCTGTTCATGTCCTTTTTTCATTTTTCTATTTGATTATTAGTTGTTGTTTTTTTTGTTTCTAGAAGCTCTTTCTATAGTGAAAAGATTGATTCTTTGCCTGAGATAAGACTTTATTTTTTTGTTTGTCTTTTGATTTACTTACGGTGTTGTTGTTGTTTTTTTAATTTTAAGTTATGTAGAAGTTTTTATTTATTTTTGTGTAGCTAACTTTGTCAGGTTTTGTCTTTTTCTGGCTCATGTGTTTTGAATTCTAGTTTAAAGTTTTTCCTTACATATTTAAAAATAAATGCAGAATAATCTGAGTATACCTTTTATGTTCCCCCTTCTCCTCCCATAATATGTGGGGGGAAATCACCATAAATTTGAAGTCTTTTATGCTTATATTCATGTTTTATGTGAGTGTTTGCTTTTAATTTTAGAGATGAACTTATTGGTGTCTTTAACAAATAGCCTTCTGAAAACTTTTATCTCTGTGAAGCAGTTTAGGAAGTAAGCTCTTGTGGACTTCTCTGAGCACCTTGAATTTACCTTTCCGAGCAGTGTGGGCAACTATTTAAACACATCCAGAGACATTTCCTAACCCTAATTTTGGAACTGGTATAAGACAATAGGTTGCTGGACTGTAAAATTTGCTGGGGATGAGTAACTGACTCCATAAATAGCTTCATGGAACATTGCCCTTGTACATGGACTAACATGACACTATTTGCCAAGGCCAAGTTGATCATATTCAGGGAAGTGCCTTGGAGTTGAGTTTGGATTTTTTGTTTCTCTTAGTGGAATTCTTTCATACACCTTCTGCCTGAAATTTTTAAATGTTAGTTTTCCAAGAGTGACAAAATTAGAATGCTTTATTTCACAGACTGAATTGGGCCATTTCTAGAATTAAGTTAGCAATTCGTTACACATTTACTATGAGAATTAAGGTTTGCCTCATAAATTATTCTGAGGAGTGCCTATCACAGAGTAGGCCCTGCCCAAGCTGACCTTCTTGGACTCACTCCGCCCCACTGCTGAGCTGGCCCAGCCCGGCAGAAAGGATGTGCAGCACCCTACACATAGCCGCTGGGAGGGAGTCTGCCTGCACTTCCAGCTCTTGTTCCACGTTTTGCCTCGCCAGCTGTGATGCCTTCCTTGATCAGTATTTGGCTAGAATTGTTTTAGAAGAAATTGTACCCATCAATGCAAAAAAACAATAACAAAAAACAAAGAATATAGTACAGGCTATCTTAACAAGAATTCTGTTACTGGCTATTCTGATATGAGCAGTCATTTTATGGTTTATTAGAGGCCCGATACACAGACTTTGTGCAAGGGGCTCGGCCCATCGCAGCCCTGGCTGCCTCACGGCCCCTCAGCCCCACCCACTGGTCCTTCCGGAAGGTCATTCTGCCTTCTGGTCTAATTAGCATATTAGCTCTTTATAATATAGGATAGGATGCCTTATCAACCACAATTCCTGTTCAGCTTTGCAAACTATTTTTTCATTTAAGATTATGTTCCACTTACATGATGTATGGAGTCCTGAATAGGCAGTACACAGCTTTAATGTGGATGGCACAGAGTAAGTCTGAAATATTTTGAAATAATGTGTGAGTGTTGTAAATATATCCTCTTTTGCATTTAATGGGCAGATTCTCATTTGAGCTGGAGTTATGTGAAAGATATTCAGGTGCATGGAAATACAATGTGGACTTATTTCAAAGCTAGAATGAACAAATAAGCCAAGAGCAACATTTTCTTTTTATCTGTTACCTGCATAATTGCATTGATGATTGTCAGGGAAGACCGATTGGTATCTGCTGTTGTCATATTGCATTATAGAAGATAAGCTCATTTGGGAACATCTAACGTGCATGCCCCGAGATGGAGTATCTCATTCAAACCAGCCTGTGGTCCTCCTCAAAGTGGCTACTCGATAGCTTTTAAGGGCAAATAAAATGTTCTTTCTGATTAATTGGTACCTGGATTTCTGAAATCAAATAGAGCCTGGTAGGTAGGGGTATTGGTCTTTTAGCTGAGAGGGTTACTCTAGATTGGAGCTTTTCCCTTTAGTAGAAGGGGTCTGGTTCGGAGCGCAGCTTACAGCTTTCCCTGCTTGCCACATTAGATAATGTCTTTGGCAGCCTTTCTGCTACCTTTTTTTCTCCTGTCATTCTCACATCTGTATTTTTCTCCTGTTATTTTCTGCATGTTCAGTTTTTATTTGGCATTTGGGGGTTGGGAATGTGAGGTTCCAGATATGAAATTCTACATTTTCCTTTTGATCAGCATTAACTGTTTGTTTGAAGAATATTTGGTGAATGCTGCTGTGACAATACCAGTGTAAATAGGAATGATGTAAGACACTCAGCTGGTTTGTATAGTGTTCACAACAGAGATCTTTGAAAAGTGGCATTAAAATATCTGTTTTCGTGTTCTAACATCCAGAGTTCTCTAAGCTGCCTGAGGCTAGTTCATGCTAAACGTATGCACATTTTCCTCTCAGTGCTCAGCCCGGACAAAAACAAGGGGCCTTTCATGGGCTCTCTTTCTGCCAGTCATTAAGGCTCCTCACCCGGCCCCGCAGGAGGTTTTCTTTTCCGAGTCTTGAGCAAAAACCAGAGAAAGAAAATGGGAAATTATTTTTGCTTTTACATAAGATCACTCTGGCTCTTGTCTGGACTAAGATTGTTCAGAAGCAGAAAATAATTAACTTGAGCTAGCATTTTAATAATCTGTAGAGGCTATTTATGAATTATTTACTAATTTGTTAATTCTGCAGATACTTATTTTCTGCTGTGCGCTAGACACTATTCTGGGTACTGGTGAACAAGGCAACAAAGTTCCTGTTTCTACAGAGTTTGTGCTTCAGTGTAAGAGATAAATAATAAACATGTAAACAGTTTATTTCAAATAATAAGTGTTATGAAGAAAATGAAACAGAGTGTGGGATAGAGAATGAGTGATCAGGGCATGTGTGAGGGGCATTCAGCTAACCTGGTAATGTCATGCCTTCCAGGGAGGAGACATTCCCGCTAGGGAAGAGGTGATCAGGAGCTAGCCATTGGCTAACTAGGGGAGAGTATTGCAGGCAGAGAAAATAGTAAGTACAACAGTGCTAACGTGTCTAAGGGGCAGAAAGAGAACCAGAGTGGCTGAAGTGACCAGAGCTCGGTAAGGAGGATGGAGAGGTAGACAGTAGCCAGATCTCACAGGACTGGGGAAGTGAATGTGAATTGATTTTTAACTGTAATGGAAACCTACTGAAGGGCTTTAATCAGAGGCATGAAATAATCTTATGTATGCTTTTACATAAGATCACTCTGGCTCTTGTCCGGACTAATAGAAAGACTTGCGGTTGTGTAGGGGAGAGGTGATAGTGTCTTGGATTGGTGTTGTCGCTGTGGAGTAGATGAGGGTTGGTTTGTTTTGGATTATGTTTCCAAAGTAAGGGAAAGAGGGGAATCAAGGATGAGCTGGATTCTGGCCTGAGGAATTGGGTTCATTTATTGAGGAAGACTGAGGAAGGAGTGGAGTCAGCAGCGTTCGTTTTGGCCGTGTACATTGGCAGTATGTGTAAATTATTGGTGATGATGAGGCCTTTGGAACTGCATCTGACGTGCAGGGGGAAATATCAGAGCTGGAGATAGAAATCTGGGACCCATTGGGTATAGGTAGTATTTCAAGTCACAGCACCTGTATGATGATTGTTCTAGACCAGCGTTTCTCAACCTGTGGGTCGCGACCCCTTTGGGGGTCGAACGGCCCTTTCACAGGGGTCGCCTAAGACCATCGGAAAACACATATATAATTACATATTGTTTTTGTGATTAATCACAATGTTTTAATTATGTTCAATTTGTAACAATGAAATTGGGGGTCACCACAACATGAGGAACTGTATTAAAGGGTTGCGGCAATAGGAAGGTTGAGAACCACTGTTCTAGACTAAGGAGAATATACAAGGAAAAGAAAAGTGGCCAAGGACAGAGAATTGGCCAGAGCTAAAAGCTGGTGAAATGGTCGTTATACTCATTGCTTTGATATTTTAGTCATTTGTCTGAATTATTGTCTGAGAAACTAGAGAGACGAAAATAGCATTTATGGGTAGCACAGGACCCGATGAGAACCTCTGTTTTTTAATCTCTAAAGTGGAACTAGAATTTCTTCGGCGTTTGAAGATGAACTGGTTAATGTGTGTAAAGGTTCATGTTCTTCTATTGCTAGAAGGGTATTCATATTCATTATTAATGAGATTCTGAGATTTTTCAAAAGCTTTAAGCAGTTTTCAGTTTCATAATAGAGCTTTTTAGGGTAAGATTTTGATTTATCCTTTGCATTTCATATTTGAAATTTGCCCTAGTATAAGATCACGAGGGATGTTGATAAACCCATTTAGTCTTCAAAGACATTTTAGTCTGAACTTTTAGAACCCAGTATAAACCATCTTTGTAGATAATCTCTTCTTCATTTAATAGCCTTCTATATTTAAAAGACAGCAGCACCCTTTAGCTAAGAATATTCAGTTTATAAATGACTCAGTTACTGTGTAAGTTTGATATGTGTTAAAATAGGTTGTTGGTTTAGAGTTGAAATGTCTGCTGTACTTTCATTATTAATTATGTCAATCTATTTCTCCTGTTGGTATGTGAAGATGTCATTCAGTTCTGCTGACTCACTCTTCCTTTTTTAACCCCCAGAGTGACCAGTCCCGGAAGAGAGCTGGGGATGAGCTGGCTTATAGTAAGTAGTGTGTTCCTTACCATCTTGGATGTTTTGTGATGTAGATAGCCACTGGCAGTGGCCATGCAGTGAGAATAATGATACCCATAGGGGGCTCATTAGGCTCGGAATGTGACCAAGGACAGACTATTCTGCAAGCTGTGCCCAGATGAGGTCCAGCTGGTGGTGGTGGTTCTCAGGCATTTGTCAAGAGGCCGCCAGATTCTGTAGTGGCCTAGAGTGGGACAGTGACCCAGCTTCAGCTCCTGATGATCTAGCCCCCCTTTCACTCAACTCAGTCACTTTTTTAAAAACCTCCTTTTGGGCGATGGGGAGAGGGGTGAGGAATATGTGTATAGGCAGGTACCTACCATTATTAAGTGCTCTCTGCTATTCATACTTTTTCCTGTTCCGATGATTTTTTGCAGACAACTCATCAGCATGTGCGAGTTCCAGAGGGTACAGATAGTGACTGTGTTGAATGTACTTTCCTTCCTGCCACAAGGACACACTGGAGCTGCAGAGACTTTTCCGAGCACAGCGGGTCCTGCACTCAGGCGCTCTCTCTCACAAGGCTGCTCTCAGAAGAGGATGTCGGACTTCTTACTTTGATTTGTAATTTTAAAAAACAAAACAAAATTTTAACTAACAAAATAACTGTCAGTTGCTGCTAGACTTGGGGATGATTTTGAAATAGGACAATCTTTTAATGAAACCTATTAATCCATGAGGAACAGGCATCTTGAAAAGTGACCGTTGCTAAGTGAAATCCGGCAGCCCGAATCAGCAGCTTCCTCCAAAAATATAAGAGCAGAAGAATTTTTTAAAGCACTGTTTTATTCATTTGTGGACTTGGCGCTCGGCATATTGGTTTCACACATCAAGATACCTTTAGCTTTAAAATCAAGCAGATCATTACAATACAGTATTTTTCACCCCTAACCAAAACAAACTCCTTTAAAAGAGTTGGTCTTTGTTTAGATTTAGAAAGTCTTGTGAAAGGAAAATGCTAGTTCTGCTTTTGCTATACCTTCTTCCCCATTAATTCACAACTTTTTTTCTACTCTGTGCCTTGAGCTTTGTGCACTTTGCAACTCTGTGACCATGTTGTCAAACTCACAGATGCTTCCTGAAAAAGCTTATGGTATCATGGATTAACCCTCCAAGATGCCAGGAGCGGCTTCATAGCAGGATGCCGAGTGAGTGGGAAAACGAAACGTCGCATATTGGTCAGATTGCCCCTGCCTCACCATGGCATATTCATGTTAATGTCAGGGACCAACTCTTATAGAACTTTTCCATTCCCTCTACCACTTAACATGGTTTCACCAGCTGCTGTAGTATTGGCATCGCACTGGTCCAGGCGTGGCCAGCACTTCAGCAATAAAGCTCCCCTTTCAATGTTGAGAGTCATCCAACAGTAAAAGCTGGCTCCGGTGATGCTCTAGGAAACGGATGGTTATTACATCCCAATATAATCAGTGGTGTGGGATTCCTGATCCATTTCATTTTAAATGGGCAGGATAAATACTTTCTTTAAAAAGTCTGTAGTCTGCATCTTGTAAACATATCTAAGAAGTAGCACTGCTGCGTTTGAGGCCCCCTTCCAGCTGTGGCCAAGCTGTGTTTTGTTTTTCTACACCCACAGTGCTATTTAGTTGTTTAGACTCTGCAGCTTATTCTAGCTGTTCTTGAAAGGCAAAGAAAAATAGAAAGATGTGGCAAACGGGAAAAAATTTTGTTCTCAGTTCTGCTTGACTTTAAATTGAGCATTATGCTTGAGTCTATTAGGCTGTGTCAGACTAATGGTCACCTCTTCAGAGAACTTGGAGCAGAAAAAGAAGACATTAGGGATACTGTCACACTTCTGATTTGCAGGATTTTTTAAGAGTTGCCTCTGCCAATTCAGTTTTGTTTTTTTTAGGGGGTGGGAGAGTTAGAAGTGTGATCTTAGGAGCAAGTAAGTCATCTAATAGAAGTCCTCTGTTTGTAAAATTATTACTCAGAGAAGTAAAAGTAAAGGTGGTCAGATTTTATTTTTCTAAGTACTTGTCAACCAGAGTTGATAGATTTTGTGGAGGACTTGAGTTAGACTCATTAATTCTGTGAGTATTTTGGATTGTATTGCTGAACACTGAATTACTGTAAGAATATATACGGGCTCTCCCTATGCCCTGAATAGTTTGATTTGCTGCACCAGTAACATTCTAGTGTCAAGGAAAAATTCCATTTTACCATGAAGGCCAAATTTTACTTTCTCAATGGACTGCTTGCTGCAGGCTTATAAATAACACTTGCAACTAAAGTCTCTCCTGAGTGGTTTTAATAATATTTCTGCAGGAATAAAATTGGATTTTTAAGAAAAATGTTGATAGGTTCTTCAGTAATTTAATAATATACCCAAATGCTTTTCTGGGAGAGACTATTGTTTGGCCAACAACAGAACTTTCCCTATAAAAGCATTGTATTATGATGTGAATTGGCATTAAAACCGTTGGATGTTTTTGCATTATTAAGTTAATGGAGAAATATTTTATATTGTCTTCTTTTTATTATAATATATGTGTAAACAAAAAGTGGGCAGAGTAAAGTCTGCGAAACTTAGTTTCTCTAAAGTTTTCGGCAGTGACTGTAGCCAGCCCTGGGTCAGGGCTTGGTCCTGCAAAGCTGGAGGAAGGCGCTGTAGGAGGAATCTACACGTCCTCCTGGTGCACGTGACCTGTGGTTTCTCATTTTCACCCCCGAGGTACATTGCAGGATGAAGAACCCATTTCTTTATTTCAAGCCAAAGTTGACCTTGCTTATTTAATTGGAGTTCTTAGCTAAATTCTTAGTTTGCAACACGAGAAGAAATAAGATTTGTCCTCCATTTTTGTTTTGACGAAGCATTGTTTGCCAGAAAGTATTTTCTCATGTTTACCTGTATTCTTGCCAGTATAGTATATCGTTTCTCCACCAGTTGACTTTTGTGGGGCCTAAGTCAGAAAATTGTACATGCAGGTCGATGGTCAACAAGTTGATTTGTCTAAATTGACTAGTGTGTGTGTGTGCAGCCTAAATCTAAACCATCCACAAGAAAGCCAGTCCAATCACATTGAAGTCATGGCATGAAAAAGTGTGAACAGATGATAATGGTTTTGAGAGACGGTACTTATTTTAAAGTTGGCTTGAATCTTCAGTAACAGTGTCATCCGATGCCCTCTGTTGTCACAGCTGTACCCTAGCCCAGCAACTACTTTGTTTTTTTGTGGGGCAGAAAGCAAACCCTGACATACATAGTTCTTATGTAGAATCCGTGAGAAGAAACACCAACCTGGATGCAGGAGTTGTGCGTTACTACATTTTACATTTTTCCTATTCCTCTTACAAGTTTGAGGCAGCTCCCCTCCATTTCTTTGGGGTACAGGATGAAATCCTATTTGTGAGTAAGAGAGATTGCAGAAGAATGGACGCCCAAGGCGGTGACCACTGCACGTGCGTCCCCAGCACTGCAGCCCCCTCAAGCTGCCGGTCCTCTTGCTCCATGCTTCTCGTCGGGTTGCAGATTTGCACACACAAAGAATTCCTCAGGAAGAGTTTGCACATACATCACCTTGCAATATTCTGTACTCACTGCACAGGGATTCGAACGTCCTTCAGCACAAAGAGAACTTGGGAGTGGCGATCGGTGCACACGCGCTGGCCAGAGGTATGGTAACCCAGGGGACACGATGGTTTCTGCAGGTATGCAGTGAGCAGGAGCACTTGTATCATAGTCTTTAATAAACCCTTTACTCACCCGGGTTGGTCATCATCTTATGGAGGCTGGCTGTAATTTCTTCTGTATTTATTCTGTTTTATCACAATTATTTTCGTGATTATCATGCAAGAGTTATTGCCCTTAAGCCAAATTGTTTAGTAAGCAGCTATTGTTAAAATAACTGAACATTGTTTTAGGAGTGTACACTAATCTGAGATATTAAAAAACTTTACAACTAAAAAACCAACACAAGATAACCCACATTAGCTGTCCAGTCACTGTTAGGATGTTTTCAGTTGATTTTTTTATGGTGTCTCATTGAGCTTCAGAGTATTATGTTTACTTTACTCCAAGTCTAGGCCTCTTAAGGGGACTTTGAGGTTTAAGGTCAGAATGTGAATTCCGTGACTGACACCTGTAAGAGGTTTATAGGACCTTTTTCGTTGTGTTACTGTTTTCAATATAATCGCATAAGATGAAGTTTATGTTTATTGGAAGTTAAACATAGTAGTTCATGGAGAAATGGATTTCTTATTATTTTTATTACCTTGTTGACATTTGCCTCAGTTTCTGGCCACCAGAATATAGGATGGGACAAAAGTAGGTTTACCGTTGTTTGTATGTAAATACTACAATAATTAATTATAAATAAATTCTGTTTCGCATACTCACAACTGTAAACTTGCTTTTGCCTCACCTGTATGTGAAAGAACCCCTATTATTTTCCAAGGAAAATGATTCCTCATCTGTCCCTACTGTTTATGAACTAAGTCATTGACATGTTCCCCCCTCCACTGGCCAAGCCCCTGTTTTGAATCTCTCCACAGCCGAGTGGCATAAGTGCATACACTATTTCTGCTTATGTTGATGTGGCTGTGGGAGAATTATAGACAATGCTGATCAGAGGCACATTAAGACCCTGTACCCCTGCTGGTTGGGAATGATCTTCATTTCTGGTTGGACTGGATTGTTTAGGGAAATGTTAACAGCTTTCAATTCTGGGAAATTTATGGTGTGGCTCTGGGGTGGATTCTGTGGTTTGAAAAAAATAAATATTTTGTATTGATTCCCACATGTCATTTAATTTCGTGACTGTGTACTAAACGCAGTAAGACTGCGGATATTCTCTTAGAAGGGCACGTTTTGTTGAACAGATGGCAGTGTAATTGGGTCATTAGTCCTGTTTGTCACTGTTGCAGCCATGCAGTCCAGGGGAGATTATTCACATGTGAAGTGGTGGGGAGATCTGGCTGGAAACGGGAATGCTAATGATGAATGGAAGGTCAAAGCAGACAGGGGGCTGTGCAGCCCACCAGCATGGCCAGAGCGAGGGTGAAGCATTGACATCTAGTCCCTGGTGGTGCTTGTTGGTTGGAAAACGTGGTAGAGCTTAGAACAAGATGTCCTGCACATCAGCTCCTTTATAGATCAAGCAAAACGAAATGGTGGGTGACGCTCCCGTTGACCGGGGTTCAAAGCCACCGACCTGGGTTCTGACCTTTAACTCTTGGTTGCTTTGAATCAGTCCTTCTGTGTTAGGGTGTAGACTGTCGCTCAAAACATTGTGGTTAATGAAATCTTGTACAGATGTCCGTGGCCTTATTCTCCTGATACTTGGTTCACCGGAACTTTGTTGTAGTATAGAACTTCATGATTTTGCTCACAGCACATTCATCATGCCTCCTCAGTGATAACCACACTCAGCACACGTCTGTTCTGCCATGTTCATTAGCCTGCAGTGAGTGTCCATCTTGACCTCCGTACCAGTGATGGAAAACAGTGTGTGTGTATTTAGCTATATACATATATAGTATATGTACAGATGTGCATATATATATGTAGTTTTTCTTTTTTAGACCCTGGATCCATTGTGGACTTTTAATCAAAACTTCTGATTGGGTTTTTTTGCATTGATTATACCGTGCTTTTTAAAAAATAAGCCTTTGTGTTTTCTTGCTATGAAATCAGTTATTTCCCCGAAGGTTTTTTGAAATCTTACTTTACAGTTTTGTTTCCCTCGCTGTCCCTTTGCAAGTGTCCTTTCCTAGTCTTCTCAGATGCCGACTCTTGCCCTCTTTGTGAATAACCTAGGCTGTGCTGTAATGGTATCTGCTTCTGATGGCCACGCAGAGCCAGATTCGGTGACTTTACATTTTCTTTTTCTCTACATTTAAGTCACCTGACATTTTTCCTTCAGGTTTTGTTTTTTCCCCCCAAATAGGGAGCTGTTTAAGTCCTCTCTTCTATTAGCGTTCTTTTTTTAACTGAGCATAAAACTTTTCTACTAGAACCAGTTTTTAGTATATATTCATGTTTGTTTATTTTCTCAATTGGCCTATTTCTCAATAATCCAACATTCTAAAACGTTTGAATTTCAAAAAACATGATATAGTAGAAAGAATATCACATATATAATCTGAGAACAAGAGTTTAGTCTCAACTAGTTGTGTATGTTCTTGGGTAGGTTATTTAATGGGCTTAATTTTCCAGAAGATATAACAGTTCTAAGCTTATTAAAGTATGCACCTAAGTGACTAATAATATACCTCAAAATACATATAAAGAAAAAAATGACCACAACTACAGGGAGAAATAGAGTAATCTACCAACATAAAGGGTGTTTTTAACACACATCCTTATAATTAATAGATCATGAAGAAGATAAAATTAATGATAATAGATAGATTTAAGCATAGATTTAAATAGCATAGTTATTAAATTTGATCTGATATATATATAATATATATATATTATATATATATCCCATTGTACCCTCTAATAAGAAAATAAGCATTTTTGAAAACCAAATCTAACATTGTATTTAAAATATAACCAAATTGGATTTATCTCAGGAATGCAAATTGGTTAGTATTAGGAAATCAATTAATGTGTCTCATCTATTAATGGATTAACATTGCATGATCAGATTGTCTATGAAAATCCAAAGAGCCTACAAGGCAAATTAGAAGACTTGAGACTTTATCAAAGTTGCTAGAAGAAAAGCAACATGCAAATGGCAATTATGTTTTCATGTACCAGCTACAAGCAATAATGGCTTTAAACTTTTTAAACATAATTAATAAAAATTACAGTAGGAACAAAATATAAAGTACCTAAGAATGAATTTTAATAAAAGGTATAGCCTTTTAATGTGAAAATGATTATTTTTAAAAAACACACCTTTACTGGCCTAAATGTATGGAGAGACTGTGGTGGATAAGATCATGTAGGTCTCACCTGTGTCTACAAATTGGGTAATAAATTAATGCAATTCCATAAGTGATTCCAACGGTTTTCATTGTGGTACTTGACAAGTTGTTCCTAAAATACAAATGGAAGACAAAGGACCAAGGATATCCAGGACATTCCTTAAAAAGAGTGAAAGGAAACTAGCACTCCCCTCAACAGTAGAACGTAACATCAAATATAGTGGTTAAAACGATGGAAATGGCACAGAGGTTATGAGTAGATGAAGAGGAAGAAAGGAAATTCTTCACAAAGGAAAAGAACGAATTGGACCTCGACCTTCCACCAGGGACAAAAGTCAGGTGGATCGGAGGATTACATAGGAAACGTAAATTTGTAAAACTTTTACAAGGCAATAGAGAAGCAAATCGTTAACTCAGAGATAATTTTTTGGCTACATTGATAGTATTTTGGTTTACCAAACATGCCACAGAGTGAAAAAATGAGCCCACACTGGAGTAGGAGACAGATCATCACATATGGACATAACAGAGAGCACCTGAGTGCAAATCTAACGTAAGCAGCGTGGGAGAGAAATGAGCAAATAACACCAGCAGGTATTTCATAGAAGACAGGGAAGTGGCCCCTAAACAGGAAACGATGTCCAGCTTCATTAGTTGCACATTGAAATGCATATTGAAGCCATAAATACCATTTTCTAGCCACCAAATTGGCAGCAACTAAAATGTTAGAAAATACCAACAATCAAAGAGATTGTGCCAATAGGAACTTTCATCTGCTACTGTGGGCGTGTCGATTGGCACTACCTGCTTTGGAAAACAGTATTTTCTATGACATTGGACACAGGCATATCTTACAGTACAGGATTTATGCTGTTAGAGAAACTCCTGTGTGGTGTATATACCCAGGACACGTGTAGGGAGTGGTCACAACACCATTATTTGTAATAACCAAAAAGAAGGGAAGGAGAAAGCCAAATGCCATCTACAGTATAATGAGTGAATGAAGTATATGTGTGCAATGGAACTCTATGGGGCAGTCAGGGCAGCTGAGAGCTTTGTACACGAGCACAGGTGAATCTCGGATCACGTTGAGTAAAAGAATCATGTCGGAGAAATACAGCCAGCATGGGCACCTTTGCTTCAAGTTCCCAAACAGGAGAAACTTAAAGCTTCGGGATTCATAAATACAGTGGGGCCTTGACTTACGAGTTTAATTCGTTTCATGACGGAGCTCCTAACTCAAATTACTCGTATGTCAAATCTTAAAGTGAATGAGTGAGACACGTGATGCTGGGCTGATGTTGTGGCGTTCACTGTGACATTCACTGCGCCAACTAGCAGTGGGGTATCTGAAGCTGGCTTGTAACCCGAATTTTAGCTCGAAACTCAAAGCAAAAAATCGGCCGAGAGACGGCTCGTATCTCGAAAAACCCGTTAGTTGGGACACTCGTAAGTCAAGGCCCCACTGTAGTAAAAGTAAAGAAAAGAATGAACAGCATTCAAGATCTTGGTTTCCTTGAGGGGTGGGGGGTGGGGGGTGAGCTGAAGAGCACGGGGGCCTCTAAGCACTTGATAATTAGAACATTATGACACGTCAGTTCTTGAGTTAATGCGGTGCATTCAGTGCAGAGCCAAAACAAATACCAACGAGTATTTCAGTATCAATTAAAACCCACCATGTACATTTGAAGCTAATGTAATATGTCAGTTATACCTCAAAAAAAATTAGAAACCTAAATGCCCAACAATAGGGATTAGATTGTAGTGTGCCCATATAATGGTGGCATTAAATGGTCTTGTAGAAGATTACATAATGAACTTATCGGATGAATATTATGAAAGGAATGCACAGAATGGCTTTTCAAAAAAATAGATCATTGTTATGTGTTTTAAGCAAATATATATGACTTTAAAAAATCATATGGAAGTATAAACATGAAAGTAGGAAAACCTTCATTGAAAGGGGAATAAAAGGAAGTTAGCTGTACCAAAAACAAAAGAATAATGTTTTTAAAAGAAAAATTAATTTTTTACACTGGTGCAAAAATAGACAAGTTAATGGAAAACGGTTTTAAAAATAGACCCAAATACTTTTAAGATGGCTTTTTGAAATAATTGCAGCCATGATGGATTATTCAGGAAAAGGCATTAGTAGAACTGGAGAAAATTAAATTGATTTCCTATTGCACCATTCACAAAAGCCAATTAAGTTATAAAAAGCTAGGAGACAACGTAGTTAATATTTTCTTGGGGCTGAAGAAGTTTGTTCCATGCATACACGCAATGACAAACAACTCTGCGTAAACCAGTCACCTGACCACATGCCGCTGAGCGCCGCCCCCAGTATGTATGTGTATGTAACATGTACATGGACCTTTTAAAATTAATGTCTATGTACTATGCTAATATATGTAAGAAAATAGAAAAAGGACGAGGTTAAATGTTTTAAAATATTTTTGTGTGTATTTATGG